CAAACTGTGGTATGTACAAAACTAACATTTCACACAGTATCTACAAGTATTTCTTTTTTTTTTTTTAAAGATTTTATTTATTTATTTGAGAGAGAGAATGAGAGAGAGAGAGCACATGAGGGGGGGGAGGGTCAGAGGGAGAAGCAGACTCCCGGCTGAGCAGGGAGCCTGATGCAGGACTTGATCCCGGGACTCCAGGATCATGACCCGAGCCGAAGGCAGTTGCTTACCCAACTGAGCCACCCAGGCGTCCCTCTACAAGTATTTCTTGAAAAAAGGTTCTATGCTCAAGTTAGTTAAATACACATTATATATTGTATCCCCTTTATAGATTTGCAATTCATAACTAAAGGAATATACTTAACTTGAACCCGGATTTCCAAAACTTATTTGACCATTTAGTCTCCTGTTTTCCCCTAAAGGACATTATTAAAATGTGTGCCAGAAAATACAATATGGAAAATGTGAACTGAGACTATGAATTTTAGGTATTTAATTGTTAATTAAACATCAGACTACTCATAGTGCATTCATCTCTCACAAGAAAGAGGGGAAAAAACAAAAAACAAAAAACACTACAAGTACAAGCCTGTTTTTTTACTTTAAAAAATTCTCCCTGGAGAAGCTAAGACTCAACTCTAAGATCCTTCAAAAAAATAACTTTTTGTGCCACTCATTTTAGGCATGGTACTAGATCCCAAGAAGGTAAAAATAAATAGGATATAATCCCTCACTTAAAAAACTCACTGTCTAGGGTGAGCCACCTGGGTTGCTCAGTCAGTTAAGCATCTGTCTTCTGCTCAGGTCATGATCTCAGGGTCCTGGGATAGAGCCCAGCACCAGGCTCCCTGATAAGCAGGGAGTCTGCTTCTCCCTCTCCGTCTGCCCCTCTCCCCTGCTCATGTGTGCGCATGTGCTCTCTCTCTCTCTCAAAAAAAAAAAATCTTTAAAAAAACCCCCAAACTCACTGTCTAGTTAAGGATACAAAATAAACAATTATAGTGTGAAAAGTATAAGGGATATATACACCAAGGAGGAAGTGACCATCTCTTGCTGGCAGGAGTGAGACAGAGGAAAACAGATTCCACAGACAAGGTGATGCTTAAGCCAGCTTTTGGGAAAAAAAGCAGGAATTCTTCAGACGTGAAATTTGGGAAAATGGAAAGCATTCTAGGTAGAGGAAACAAATTGTGTATTCAAAAATTTGTAAGAGATCCAATACTGTTATATCACAGGAAGAAGTATCAGGAGATGAGGCTTTTGTTTCATACTGAAGAATTTAGATTTAGGTAAAGGGTCACATGGAAATATGGTTAGCTGTGGGCAGGAGCATAGGAAAAGAAATGGTAGAAGTGTTGGCCAGGAGATTCGAGTTAGAATTTCAGATTAGTAAGATGGAAAAGATAAAGCCTAAGTTAAGTATAAGAGAATAAAATTTGAAGCCAGTGTTCAGAAGAATCCAGAGATTCTGAATCTAGAGACTGTCATTATCTCAGAGAACTATGTAGGACTCAGAGAACTTTCTCTTTCATGAAGAGAAAGTGGTCATACTTGCATTTTAGAATAATAAGTGGAGAAAAGACTAGAGATAAGGAGAATAATTAATTTGATATAACAACAGTCCAGGTATGTAGAGAGAAGGATACAGAATCTACAGATACTGAGAAGCAAAATTGATAGTTACTAAGTAGGACTTAGAAAAAAATTACATAAAGAATATAAATACTCCTGAAAAGTCTAAAGTACTCCCCAGTTTCTGGCTTATGAAAGTAGGACATATTACTACGTGACATAAGAAATATAGGAAAAATAGATTTTGTAAGAAGATAGTGAGTTTACTTTTAGAAATGCTAGGTTTGATGGGCCTACAGGATATTCAAGAGAATATATAACAAGTAAATCCACAAATGGGACATGAGATAATGGAATTAAGACATGCTTAGAAAAGGTTTCTGTGATGAAGTTCTGTTTCAGTTGCAGAGGTAGGGAGCTTGATTCTTTTTACAAGAAAATAACGGTAGTAAACTAGGAAGTCTATTCCCTTTCAGCAGGAAATTCTCATAAACCTCAAATCCCAGGGCCCATGACCTGGTGGATGGCCTAGGCAGAAAGTCCAAAACTGGTCTATGAAAAACAAGTCAGAGAAGATAAGTTTAACAATGAAACAGATTGTAAAATAGAACATGAACTCTTAAACTATCGTTTACATCCTTGTGCTGAAAAAACCTTACCAAGTGATTGTGTTTTTTATCCTCATGGCATACATAAAACTCCTTGTCTAGACTTAGGAGAAAAAGTACTGAAAACACTGTAATGCTGAAGACAAGAATATAATGTTGCATAACTCTCCAGTGCAGAAAAACACTCACTAATCAGAGGCAGTAAGAAAGACTTAGTATCCTGAGACGATACGGGAGGTGCTACAAGAAGAATCAGAGGCTCCCCTGATTGCATCAGTCCTGTTAGTACCTTGAAGGTCAACAATGGAGGAGAAAGATGATCACTTTAGAGAAAAGCTATTAAATCCCACACTTCATTATACCTTAACAGTGAGATAATATCCACTCTTGGTTCTACTTTCCTAGGGCTTTCCTAACCTACATAGTTCTCTGAGATAATGACAGTCTCTAGATTCAGAATCTCTGGATTCTTCTGAACACTGGCTTCAAATTTTATTCTCTTATACTTAACTTAGGCTTTATCTTTTCCATCTTACTAATCTGAAATTCTAACTCGAATCTCCTGGCCAACACTTCTACCATTTCTTTTCCTATGCTCCTGCCCACAGCTAACCATATTTCCATCATTCCAAAGATAGGGAAAATGGCCTCAGGCCTAGCTTCCAAAGAAAAGACAGGAAATAAATTTGGGTTTCGTTCTCTTTTGTAGCTTCTGTATATTTACAGCAAATAAATATATTGTTTTATCAACCAAGTATTTAATCTGAACAAAAGATAATATCAAAAATAATTTGAAGACTGGGGCGCCTGGGTGGCTCAGTCGTTAAGCGCCTGCCTTCGGCTCAGGTCATGATCCCAGGGTTCTGGGATCGAGCCCCGCATTGGGCTCCCTGCTCCGCGGGAAGCCTGCTTCTCCCTCTCCCACTCCCCCTGCTTGTGTTCCCTCTCTCGCTGTGTCTCTCTCTGTCAAATAAATAAATAGAAAATCTTTAAAAATAATAATAATAATAATAATTTGAAGACTGAATCTGCTACAGTCCACCTACTGATAAGCAACAGTTAACAGGAAATTCTTTAAAAAAAAGCAACTTTAAAAAACATTATTGTACAAGTCCTACATTATTACATACGGTTTTCATTTATTATTAAAGTAAAATGATCCTGATAAAGAATTTTCAAAATCTATACATCCTCAAGGTAAACAATTTACTAAACAAATTTATTAAATCTATTAAACAAATTAACATAGAATAAAGCTGAAACAATTAATAGAAATATAATGGAGATTATCTGATTTATAGATAATTCTTTAAAAAGTTCAAGTAGGGAGGAAGTTCATATACTGAATTTTAGTTTCCTCTGTTGTGACAACAGTCTGATACAAATACATTTCTTTAATTAGAAAATAAAGCAAAATAAAATAAAATAAAATCTTCTCAGGAAGCCCTGGCTGGAGAAGGAAGAGAAGGTCATGCCTGCGGTACCCTCTATAGCTTCCCACTCAGGGCCCACCCAGCCCATATCCCTCTGCCCCACCCTGCCATACCTGAAGCGTCTCTAAAGTAGTTTCTAATACTTGAGAAAAAAAATTAGGGGTTAGAAAGCATGTTGAGCACTGTTTTATTTCTATGACACTGTGATTATTGGGAATTTTAACTAACTCAGAAATTTTAAGTTATAATCATTTTAAAACTTTTTATTACTAAAAATTTCAAATACAGATTAATATAACAAAATCCCAAGTACTCATCACCTACCTTCAACAATTAATATTTATACATTCTTGTTTCATCTATATACTTTACCCACTCACTCCACACATACACACACACACACACTATACACAAACCAATTATTTTTTATTTTTTACAACTTTGAGGTCAGATTTATATACATTGAAATGTACAGATCTTAACTGTACAATTTTGACAAGTGGGAGACAGAACATTTCTATCTCCTCAGAAAGTCCTTTTGTGTCCCTTCCCAGGCAATTAGCCCACCCAGAGGTAAGCACTGCTCTGATTTTTTTCACCTAATTAGTTTCGCCTGCTTTAGAATTGCAATATAAATGGAGTGACACAATCTGTGCTTTTTTTGTGTCCAGCTTCTGTAGCTCAGCATAATGCCTGGGAGATTAATATTTGTTGTTGTACATATCAGTAATTTCATTCCTTTTTATTGCTAAGTAATATTCCATTGTGTTTTTATACAGCACAATTTGTGTATCCATCCCCTTTTGATGTCCATTTGGGTTGTTTCTAGTTTTGGGCTAGCTGTGAACAAAGCTGGTATGAACATCACAAGGATATGTTTTCTTCATTTCTCATTGGAATTATCTAGGAGAAGAACTGATGATTCAAAAAGTAGGTACATTAACTTTACAACTGCCAAATCTTGTCCACTGTTTTCTTTTTATTATTGAGCTGTAGAAGTTGTTAATTCAAAGATAATACTTTTAAAGAGAACAATTTAGAACCTTAGGATAAAAGGAATCCCATTTGCCTCTGTGGCTGCCACGGTTCATCTAATTTTACATCAAATTCGCCTGCCGGCACAAGTTAATGAATTACCACATACTTGGGATGATTCCCAAGAGACAGGCTCGTGAGTCAAGTTAGACTGACCTAACTTAAATACGGAATAGCTGCAAACCAAAAGAAAATGTTGATTAAATCCATTCTAAACAAAGTTCAGGAAAGATACGAAAAGGATAAAACTAAACAAAAATAAGCATTTTATGTAACTAAAAACAAGTAAACTCTGGATATATTCTCTAATTAGACTACTGAATAACATTAAAATTTTCCTTTTTAATCTCACCTGTTTCATTGCTGTTTCACCTATTTTGTCAGAATGTTTTCGAATGCTTTCCAAAAAGTCTTTGAGATCAGACATGGAGATTTCTTTAATATCCTCACGGAGTTTAGGAAGATTTTCTATCATTAGCTGACAAAACCGGTATTGACTAACTCGGGGAAAAAAAACATTCTCTAATTGTTCCATAGTTTTTAGAGCAGAATAATACCTGTGAAAGGTTAAGAAGAAAACTCCATAAAAAGTTATTACATTAATTTTCAAGTTAAAATAATTAGTCCAACACTCCAATCAAAAGGGGCACAGTTAAAATAAGTAAAATTACCATTTATTTCTATTTACTAAGCATAAACTATAAACCACATGAACAAGATTGCAGGTTGAAAAGTCATGACTTATACTAACATACAGTTTCCTTATTTCATTTCACTTAAATATGTAACATCTGTAACAACCTAAATCTCATCACAATATCTTTTTTTTTAAGATTTTATTTATTCATTAGAGAGAGAGAGAGCACACGCGGGGGTGGGGAGCAGAGAAAGAGGGAGAAACAGACTCCCCCCACTGAGCAGGGATCTTGCTGTGGGGCTCGATTCCAGGACTCCAGGATCATGACCTAAGCCAAAGGCAGACAGACGCTTAACTGAATGAGCCACTCAGGCACTTGTCATCACAATATCTTAAAGGTATATGCACAATATTTCTGAAATTTTTAATTATAATAGTTATTGATATGTGTTTTCATAATCTCTCTCCCATCCACATACCATCACATCAAAAAAGTACAGATTTAATTCAACTTAAAGTAAAATGTGTTTTAAGGACATCTTTTTGAAAATTTTACACTATTTAAAGCACTAAGAAATAATATTAAGTATCAAAAAACCAAGTGAAAAACCACAGTGATTTATTCTCAACTCAACAAATACATACTGAATGACATGGTGGATTGCAGTTAATTAGTAAAATATAGCCTATGCCATAGAAAAATTGACATGTACTTTCATATACATACTTTGATTTTCTCTAGACTTCTATGAGGTAGATGTGTATGGCAGATATCACTATTAATACTCTACAGATGAAAAACTGAAACACAAAGAGTACACAATTTGGCCAAGATACTATAATTAACTGGCAGAAAAACCATAACTATCAGTTTCCTACAATAATATTCACCACCAAAATCTGCTGAAAGTAGGTAGAAGAATTTTTTAAATTAATCAAATAATATTCTATACTTTCCCACTGATTTGGATATTAAAAATGAGAAAAGGCATGATCTAGAGAACAAAAAAAGTAATACACAGGTAATTTGAAAGACTGTAAATTCAAAGCTATTTAAAGATATTTACTGATTCTCTAGCCTATATTCCCAAAGATAGAGCATATTTTGCAACCTGTCACAAAATCTATCACTATTTTAAAAATTCGATGCCTAAATTTTATCTTTGTTATTTAAAATCATTAGAATTGTTATAAACAAATAAAATATACATTTGGTCAGAAATGAACATATTTAGGTGATAAAATGGGTGGGAGAGAGATGTCATTACAATGACTTTGATAATACCTAAGACATTATAAATTTAAATGAAGTAAAATGATGAATAGTATCTTTTCTGAGTAAAATAACATTTTATATACAATAGGTCAGTCAATAGTCAAATTTTGACCCTGCCCTATTTTGATCCTGCCCGTATTTCCTGATTTGATGTGAATTAGGTATACTCCAAAAGTATTATCTCCACAACAGATAGGCTTTCTGAAAATTCATGGTAATGCCTACAATGTATTTGAAGTCATAAAGTGATAGAGGCTAAATGAAAGTATTACCAGGAGTTTTTGCAACATCCAAAGACACAATCAAATGACTTCATAACACAACTGTGCTTTCCTTCATGCTTCTATACCTCTCACCTCCCATCCCAGGATTCCCATGTCACTGAACCATGAAGCCTTCCTAGCACCCCCACACAACACAACCAAGAAATGTGAGCAGTTAATGCCAGTGGGCTGAATCCTTAACTAATGAGAAAAGTAGGTCAGAAGATAAATTCCTCTTTCCTCCTCCTAGATGAAATGTCCTGAATTTACAATAATATATAGAACTCCCAAAAGTTCTTTGAAATTGATCAACATTAAGCATCACTGCCTAACTCAGTAACTCAACTTCATATTGCTCTCCCAAGTTCGCTAACTCATTTCCCTTTCACTCAACTCTGCTTCTCAGCTTCCGTAGGATTATAGTCCAAAAAAAGTAGTAAACAATAAGGTTATAACTCAGGCTTTGCTTTCTAGGAAACTCAAGCTAAGAAACACAGCAAGGCTATATTCTTAGGCAGAGAACAGAAACCAGAGACCAGACCCTGAATCTTTCTAAAATTTACCCACAAATCTCCTAAGCTTTATATTCCTAAATGCAAGCAAAATTTCCACAATGGATTACCATTCTCTTTTGGTATATATCATGCTATTTTTAAAAAATTGTAGCAGTCATCCATAACCACTGGAAAAATACAAAACTATAAAGGGAAAAATAAAAAGCACCATCTGATACTACCATGTACTAATGACCTCAATTTGGCCCCAGTTACATCCAGTCATATATCTACAACATTTCCAGGTCTGTATGCTCATATCTTATTTAAAAACATATCATGGAAACTATCTTTAACTAAAAGTATTCTAGAACAGATTAATATCCTACTTGTAAGGAAAAATGTGATGATGTCCTCATAATTGGGATTTTAAGTATCTGATTTTTTATTTTTTATAAATAAGACTAAAGTAAATTTCTCCCTATATCAAAACCTCTACCAAGATGCCTGCTTTTATAAATATGAGACATTTTTTAAAAAATTATGTGTCATCCCTAAATGGAAAACATGTGACTACTATAATGGTTCTCTGGCCCATAGGGTACAAATTATGTCACTGTTCTTATTTCATTTGCCTTCCCTTGAGCATTTCCAATTCACCAAAGTTTGAACTATCATAGAAGTGGTTACTTCAGTCTCTACTATTCTAAACACAGTGTCCTGCATATAAGAAAAAATTACAAGATACATAAATAAGCATAAAAATGTGATCCAAAAGTAAAAGTCAATGGAAGCATATATACAGGTGGCCTAGACCTTGGAATTAACAGATGAAAACTTTAACTATTATAATGTTATAGACTCTAGGAAGAAAGAGAAGTTAATATGCATTAAGAGATGGGAAATTTTAGTGGAAAAACAAATTACAACAAAGAATCAAATGAAAAAGCTGAAAATAAAATATCAGAATAAAGAACTCTTTCAATGGGCTTAAGAGCAGACTAGATGCAGAAGAAAAAATGATCCATGAATGTGAAGACAACTGAACAGATATTTTGCAAATTGAAACATACACACAAACACACAAAGAATAAAGATAGGACGCATAGTGTCTGAGATCAAAAGAAATAGGCTCAGTAAAGTTTAAGATAGGTTCAAAAAATTACCCAACATGAAACAAAAAAAGAGAGAAAAGGAGGAGTTCTTAGAAATTATGGACGACATTAAATGATCTAACATACATGTAACTGGAGTTCCCAAAAGAAAGGGGAGAGAGAAAATAATGGTGAAGAAATATTTGAAGAGATAAGAGCCCTGAAATTTTCAAAACTGATGAAAGTTATCAACCCCAGATTCAAAATAAGCTAAACAAACCCCCAAGCAATATAACTATAAACCTAACCACATCATAGTCAAACTTATAAAAAAAATATATGGAGGCCAGAGGAAAAAAGACCTAATTGCAAATCTTGTAACACCAATGAGAATGATAGCTGAACTTCTGAAGAGAAACAATGGAGAGCAGAAAATGAAAAAAAAACGTAATATTTAAATTGTTGGGGGGAGGGGACCCTCTGAAAACCCAGAATTCCATACTGATACAAGCTATTGCTCAGAAATAGAAGTAAAATAAACACGTTTCCAGAGAGGCAAAGCAAGAAAATTTTCTTCAGCAGACAGATGTGTAGTATAATAAATACTAAACAAAATTTATCATGTTAAAGTCAATTATGCCACTTAGAACCCTGGATCTGCAAAAAAAGGAAAAAAGAGCAACAGAAAAATTAAGTGGATAAGTATAAAAGAATCTGTTTTAATTATGTGTGTGTGTGTGTGTGTATTACAAGTAAATTACATTAAAACAAAAACACAACAAACAGGATGGGAATAAGTACAATTGTCTTAAGTTGAGGGGCGCCTGGGTGGCTCAGTCGTTAAGTGTCTGCCTTCGGCTCGGGTCATGATCCCAGGGTCCTGGGATCGAGCCCCGCATCGGGTTCCCTGCTCCACGGGAGGCCTGCTTCTCCCTCTCCCACTCCCCCTGCTTGTGTTCCCTCTCTCGTTGTCTCTCTCTCTGTCAAATAAATAAATAAAATCTTTAAAAAAAAAAAATAACATTATTTGAAAGTCAGCTGTGGTGAGTTAAAAATGCATACTGTGCTCTCTAGAGCAGACAATAAAAGGTTAAACAAAGATATATACCTAGTAAGTGAATAGAGTTAGAGATAAATATATATATCCCAAAACAAAACCTCAATCATGAAAAGGAAGGAAAGAAAAAATACATCAGACAAATAGAAGATAATTAATTGAAAAGTCAACCATAATAATAATTACATAAATATAAATGGTCTAGGGGTGCCTGGGTGACTCATTTGGTTGGGCGTCCAGCTTCTGGTTTCAGCTCAGGTCATGATCTCAGATTCGTGGGATTGAGCCCCACGTAGGCTCTGCACTCAGTGGGGAGTCTGCTTGTGATTCTCTCTCTCCCTCTCCATCTGCCCCTCTCCCACTTTCTCTCTCTAAAATAAATAAATAAATCTTTTTAAAAGTTAAAAAAAAAAGGTCTAAAATGCCATTTGCAAAGTAGAGATTGCCCACTGGATGAAAAAAAGTTAAGACCCAACTATATGCTGTTGATAAGAAACACACTTTAAATATAAAGAGTAGGGTTAAAAGTAAAAGGATGTCAAAGATATACCATGAAACATCCAGCTAGAATAACTAAAATGACTACATCAATACCAGCAAAGTTGAATTCAGGACGCAGAATATTACCAAAGATACAGAAGGACATTTCATGACACAACGTTAGTAAGAATATAAAACAATCATAAATATGAATGCATCTAATAACAGAGCTTTGAAATATATAGAAGAAAATTTGAAGAACTAAAGGGAAAGTAGACAAACTACAAGAGGAGAAAACGTTACATCCCTCTCTTACCCCTGATAGAACTGGCCAGCAAAAAAAACACTAAGGAGAAAGAAAATCTGAACTGCTCTAACACTAACATGACCTAACTGGTATTTCTAGAACACTAAAGCCACAACTGCAAAATACACAGTCTCTTCAAGTACACATGAAATATTCACCAAGACAGATGATATGCTGGGTCACTAAACAATTCTCAATAAATGTCAAAGGTCTGAATTCCTACAAAGTATGTTCACTCATCCAAGAGTATCAAACTAGAAATTAATAATGAAGATTATAACATATCCTAAAAGTCCCCCAAATATTTGAAAATTGAATATACTTGTAAATAAACCAAACCTTTAAAAAAAGGAAAATTAAGGAGCAGCTGGGTAGCTCAGTCAGTTAAGCACCTGACTCTTGATTTCAGCTCAGGTCATGATCTCTGGGCATAGGGATCAAGCCCCATATCAGGCTCAGTGCAGAGTCTGCTTGTCTCTCTCTCTCTGCTCCTCTCCCCATTCTTGCACTCTCTCTTTCTCTCAAATAAATAAAATCTTAAAAAAAAAGGAAAATAAAATATTTTAAACTAAAAGATAATAAAAAACATTTCAAAACTGCACCTAAAGTAGTTCTCAGAGGAAAATTATAACTTTAAATGTTTGTAATACCAAAGAAAGGCATATGGCTGGCTCAGCTGGAAGAGCATGTGACTCCTGATCTCGGGGTTATAAGTTCAAGCCCCATGTTAGGTGTAGAGATTACTTAAATAAATAAATGTTTTTAAAAGCCTAAAAAAAAAAAACCAAAATATTTTTTTTGTCATTTTAGAGTCAATTGTGACATATATAGTATTTGGGTACAACTTAAGCTTTTTAAAATATACTGATTTTCCTATCCTAGAGAAAATGTTTCAATAGAAGTTGAGTTTCATTATAGCTTTTGTTTGTTTGTTCCTTCCATTGATATACTGATGTCTAGGAAATTATAGTCATTTTGAGGGGAAATTATAGTCATTTTAAATTAAAATTCACTTATTTCACAGCATACTTACTGTTCAAATCATTTCAATAAATGATTGAAAATTTTTTAAAAAAGGCATAAAATCATTGTTCTAAATTTCTACTTTATGAAAACAGAAAAAGAACAAATAAAATCCCAAGTATAACAATGCAAATAATAAAAATAAAAATAGCCTTTTTGCCTGTCCAGACACGGTCTGCCTCCTGCCCTTTGGTTGAGGGGAAGAGCAGAAGGAAGTCTGCAGGTCTGCAGGTCACAGCGGTGCGCCTTGAGGAGAGGACGCCTAGAGCAAACCGCCAGAAGAGGTCCAGACCATCCTGAACATGGAAAAATCCTGAAAAGAAAATGAAGAACAGCCACAGAGCGCACCCAAGACGGAGGACGAGCAGCCTCCTGTGGAGCACTCTCCTGAAAAACAGTCTCCAGAGGAACCATCTTCCGAGGAGCAGTCCTCGGAGGAGGAGTTCTTTCCCGAGGAGCTCCTTCCCGAGCTCCTTCCCGAGATGCTGGTGTCTGAGGAGCGCCCTCCTCAGGAGCGCCTTTCTAGAAGGGACCTTTTTGAAGAGAGCCCTCCCATGGAGCAGCCTCCTTGTGGAGTGGGAAAACATAAGCTAGAAGAAGGAAGCTTTAAAGAGAGGCTGGCTCGCTCTCACCCACAATTTAGAGGGGACATACATGGCAGAAATTTAAGCAATGAGGAGATGATAAAGGTAGCAGAGGAGATGGAAGAGATGAAAAGAGTACGCAACAAATTGATGGTTATGCACTGGAAGGCGAGACGGAACCATCCTTATCCTATTTAATGTGTTCGGCCTTTAATTCTGTTTTGCCTGATATAAGTATTGCCACCTGAAGGTTGTATTTTCTCATATACCTTTCCCCATCAATTATAACTTTTCGCGTGGCTTTATTCTAGGTGATTCACTTGTAACTGGCATAAAATTGGGTTTTCCCTGCCCACAAGCTGCAAGTTTCCCTTTTTCAAACATGAATCTCACCCATTTGCATGAAAAGATGTACATTATATATTGTGAAGTGAAAAATAATTTTTGAAAAGTAAAAATAAATAAATAAAAATAAAGATAGAAATCAAAGAACAAACTCAAATATTAGATCTTTGAAAATATCCATAAAATTGATAAGCCTCCTGTCACATAAATCAAGGGAATAAAACCACAAATTACTAATATTGGGACTGACAAAGATGAACATTACTACAGGTCCTACAGACATTAAAAGGATGATAGGACAATATTATAAATAAGTTTATGCCAATAAATTCAACAACTCAGATAAAGTGGTCCAAGTCCTTGACAAAACATAAGATAAGAAAACTGACTCAAAAAGAAATAAAGTCTTAATAGCTCAACATCTGTAAAAGTAATGGGATTCATATCAAAATTTTGCCAGCTGGCTTTGCTAAGAATATAGCACTCTGGGCTTATTTCAAACTGATTACTTTTTTCTTTCTCTGTTGGTATTTTTCTGTGATCTTCACTCTGAGAATCTGGTAGGGCTCCTGATGCTAAAATTCATAAGAAGAGTGGTGGACTTCCTGTACCCCCAGGAATTTTTTTTATCTCTGAAGCCAGTATGCTCATTCAACCTTTAAGTATTCCTATCAAGGTCCAGCAGTGGCTTCTGCTCTCAGTAAACTGTGATAGTCTCTATTTGCCTGTCTCTCCAATTCCAGGGGCAGCAGATTGCCCTATGACCTCATTTCTCCAATGGCTCTAAAAAAGGTTTTTTAGGGACACCTGGGTTGCTCAATTGGTTATGCATCTGCCTGTGGTTCAGGTCATGACCCCAGGGTCCTGGGATCGAGTCCCACATCAGGCTCCTTCCTCAGCAGGGAGCTTGCTTCTCCCTCTGCCTGCTGCTCCCTCTGCTTGTGCTCTCTCTTTCTGACAAATAAATAAAAAAAAAAAATCTTTTTTAAAAAAAGGTTTTTTATTTTCAGTTTGATTAGCTCTCTTCTTGTTGTAAAGACAGGAGTGATTGCTTCAAAGCTCTTTACATGTGAGATCAGAAACTGTAAGTTCCTTATTTTTATTCTTTCTTTTTCCTTTTTATTAATTTGTAAAAGTTCTTTATATATTGTGGTTATGAGTCCTGTCAGAAAAAAATCTTGCATATGTTTTCTCCTTGCCTATCAATTTTCTTAAAAGTGTATTCTGATGAATAAAATTTTTTATTTGAGGTCCACGATTTCCAATTCTGCATAGTAGCTTTTTGTGATCCTTCTAAAAAATATTTTTGCTTACCCCAGGTAATGTGAAAATATCTTCCTACATTTTCTTATAGAAGTTCTAAGATTCTGGGTGGAGAACAAACACAAGACCCAACTATATGTTGTATAAAAGGAACCACTTTAAACATAACAGAGAGATTAAAAGTTAAGGGATGGAGAAAATATACTATGCTAACACCAATCAAAAGCTGGAGTAGCTATTTTAATTTCAGATAAAGCAGACTTCAGAGCAAGGAAAGTTATGAGAGATAAAGAAAAGCATTATATAATGATAAAATAATTAATCTCTAAAAAGACATAACAATCCTTAATGTGTATGTGACTAATAACAGAGTATCAAAATATGTGAGGCAAAAACTGATAGAACGGCAAGGAAAACAGACAAATTCACTAATATAGTTGAAGACTTCAAAACTCCTCTAACAGTAATTGACAGATCCAGCAGGCAGAAATTCAGTTAAGAATATGCTTGAACTGGGGCGCCTGGGTGGCTCATTCGTTAAGCGTCTGCCTTTGGCTCAGGTCATGAACCCACAGTTCTGAGATTGAGCCCCACGTCCAGCTCCCTGCTCAGTGGGAAGCCTGTTTCTCCCTCTCCCACTCCCCCGGCTTGTGTTTCCTTTCTTGCTGTGTCTCTGTCAAATAAATAAATAAAATCTTTAAAAAAAAAAGAATATGGTTGAACTGAAGAGCGCCATCAATCAACTGGATTTAACTGACATTTATAGAATACTTTTCATCCAACAACAGAATATATATTCTTTTCAAGCTCACATAGAAAATTCACCAATATAGGGGCGCCTGGGTGTCTCAGTCGTTAAGCGTCTGCCTTCAGCTCAGGTCATGATCCCAGGTTCCTGGGATTGAGCCCCACATCGGGCTCCCTGCTCAGCGGGAAGCCTGCTTCTCCCTCTCCCACTCCCCCTGCTTGTGTTCCCTCTCTCGCTGTATCTCTCTGTCAAATAAATAAAATCTTTAAAAAAAAAAAAAGAAAAGAAAATTCACCAATATAGACCATATTCTGGGCTATAAAACACACATCAACAAATTTAAAAGAATAAAAATCATATAAAACTAACATCATACTTAATGATGAGAAACACAATGCTTTTCCCCACGAGATCAGAAACAGGCAAGGATGTTCCTCATCATCACTCTAATTTAACGATCATACTGATATTCATTGCTAATCCAATAAAACAAGAAAAAGAAATAAAAGGTAATCATACTGGGAAGAAAGAAAGAAAAGGCTTGTCTGCAGATGACATTATTATCTATGTAGAAAATTCCAAAGAATAGGGGCGCCTGGGTAGCTCTGTCGTTAAGTGTCTGCCTTCGGCTCAGGTCATGATCCCAGGGTCCTGAGATCAAGCCCCGCATCGGGCTCCCTGCTCAGCGGGAAGCCTGCTTCTCCCTTTCCCACTCCCCCTGCTTGTGTACCCTCTCTCGCTGTGTCTCTCTCTGTCAAATAAATAAATAAAATCTTTAAAAAAAAAAGAAAAGAAAATCCCAAAGAATCAACTAAAAAAACACCCAGAACAGTAAGTGATGATGGCAAGGTTGAAGAATACCAGGTTAACATACCAAAGTCAATCGCCTTTCTGTAAACCAGCAAGAAACAACTGCCGATTTGAAATTAAAAACACAATACCATTTACTTTAGCACCAAAAAACAAATTATGTATAAATCTAACTAAATACATACAAGATCTATATGAAGAAAAGCACATAACTGATGAAAGAAATCAAAGAAAATCTAAATAAATGGACAGATATTCCATATTCATGAATGGATTTCAGAAAAATTAACTCATAATGGGTCAGAGACATAAATGTAAAACACAAAACTCTAGAAATTAACATAGGAGAAAATCTAAATGACCTTGGGTTTGGCAATGAATTTTCAGAAACACCACCAAAGCATGATCTATGGGAAAAAACTAGTAAGCTGGACTTCGTTAAAATTAATAATTTTCTGTTCTAAAAAGACACTGTTAAGAGAATGAAAAGACAAGCCACAGAATGGGAGAAGATATTTTCAAAACATTTAACTGATAAAGAATTAGTATATAAACTATACAAAAGGGCGCCTGGGTGGCTCAGTTGGTTAAGCGACTGCCTTCAGCTCAGGTCATGATCCTGGAGTCCCGGGATCGAGTCCCGCATCGGGCTCCCTGCTCGGCAGGGAGTCTGCTTCTCCCTCTGACCCTCCTCCCTCTCATGCTCTCTGTCTCTCATTCTCTCTATCTCAAATAAATAAAATCTTTAAAAAAAAAAAAAACTATACAAAAAACACTTAAAAGTCAGCAGTAAGAAAACCACCAACCAAATTTAAAAGCACACAAAATATCTGAAGAGATAGCTCACCAAAGAAGATATACAGATAGCAAATAAGCATATGAGAAAATGCTCAACATCACATGCCAATAGGAAATTGCAAATTAAAGTGAGATATTACCTACATCTATTAGAATGGCTAAAATCCAAAACGGTGACAATACCAAATCCTGGTGAGGGTGTGGAGCAACAGAACGTTCATTCATTATTATTGCTGAGAGTGTAAAATAGTAAAACCACTTTGATAGACAATATGGCTGTTTGTTATAAAGCTAAATATAGTCTTTCCAGGGATGCCTGGGTGGCTCATTCGGTTACAGGTCTGCCTTCAGCTTGGGTCATGATCCCAGGGTCCTGGGATCAAGTCCTGTATTGGGCCCCTCACTCAGCAGGGAGCCTGCTTCTCCCTCTGCCTGCCCCTTCCCCTGCTTGTGCGCACTCTCTCTCTCTCTCTGACAAATAAATAAAATCTTAAAAAGAAAAAAAAGCTAAATATAGTCTTTCTGTATGATCTAGCAACTGTACCACTAGGTATTTATCTAAATGAATTAAAAAGTTATTCCACACAAAAACCTGAACACAAATGTTTACAGCCGCATTATTCATAATTGCCAGAAATTAGAAGCAACCAAGATGTCCTTCAACAGGTGAATGGATATATAAACTGTGGTACAACCATATAATGCAATATTATTCATCAATAAAAAGAAATGAGCTATCAAGCCACAAAAAGACATGGAGGAACC